ACACTCTTCCACTTGTCCTCCCATTCCGCCTTCCCCAACCAGCCACCCTACTCCATACACCATCCCTGATGCATGTACCTTCCCCTTCCACCCACCAGTCCCCATCCACCCTATCAAACCCATCCACTCTTCCACCCAGCCATCCTCTTCCACCATTCACCCAAAGATCCTCATCCACTCATGCACCAATATTCTCTCCCATAACCATACACCCTCCCCTACCCATACATGCTCCATCACCTATTTCACATCTCCTCCCACCCATCCACCCACACCCATCCACTCATACATCAATAAATGCATCCAAACATACACCCACATCCTCCCATCTACCAACCCACCAATCCATGTTCCCCCACCCTCTGACCTATCCACCAACTCCCAACGCAACCATCCATCCACCCTTCACCACCCGTCCACTTAGTTACCTATGCACACTCCCCACCCTCACCCAGCCACCCTCACCCAGCACCAATATCCACCCACCCATGCACGCTCTGCTACCCATCCACCTATGCACCCATCCACCTTTTCCAGGCATACACCCATAACCCCTCCCTCACCCATCCACTCATCCCCATCCATCCACCCGCCCCACTAATCCCTCAAACCACCCTTCCCCATCAATCCACCTAACCACTCATCCGCAATTCCCCACCTTTTCTCTCATACTCAGATTTTCCAGCAACTTTGTCATCCTAAACTATCAGTTGTGCTTGGTTGAAATGAAGAATTTTGATGAGAGATCACCCCTGAATTGTCAGGAGAGATTCCTAACTGCTTTGCAATGTAGGTTCGCTGAGGACTTTTTGGCCCTCAATAGTTGCTTGGTTGCAATGAAGAACTTTCACGAACCAATATCCACTGAAATGTCAGGAGAGCATCTTAATGCTTTGCAATGAAGTTTGAGAGCATTTCAAATAGGTGATCACCAGAGAATGATTGCTTGGTTGCAATGAAGAACTTTCACAACAGACATTGTCTGAATTGTCAGGAGAGATTCCTAATTGCTCTGCAATGAGTTCTCTTAGAACAGTGGTTCCAAACTTTAACAACCTGTGAACCCTTTTCACTAAAATGTCAAGTCTTGTGAACCCCCTCCTAAAAATGAATATTTCCAGGGATTTTCTCCTTTACTTGAGTATAAATTATAAAAGCAGTGATCTTGGAAATATAAAATTTGTTTTTACGACATGCTTATTACACACTATTTATTATTAATGATTATTTATCATTATAATACTGTTATTACATTATGAAAACTGCAACACTCTTCCAAGATCTCACTTCCGTAGCTTGTATCACTTTGAATAAGCCTGTTATAAGACAAAGCTCCTATGTTTCATCAAGGAGAATCAGATGTGAAACAGCATGAAGATATTTAAGAAGCCAACTCAAATACGTTCCTCCTACATAAGCATTCAGGGCTTGAGCAGTACAGGTAAATAAACGCACATTACAACAAAG